ACCCCACATTTCTCCTCATAGAGCCCAGCCTCCTGGATAATCTGTTCTGCATTTAGAACAGTTTCTTACTGTGAGGCGTCTTAAATGTGGAAAAAGAGAAGACTGCCAGGTTCCTTTTTGGTAGGAGTTGGTAATTGATTCATGTGTTCTCAGGACGATTCCAGGCCGCTGATCGTTCAGAGCTGATAAAGACCACAGAGAACATAGAAATGTCGATGGACGTGAAGTCTTCCTGGACGACCAGAGATGTTGCACTTTCAGTGCACCGAGCTTTCAGGTGGCTCCTTCTCTTGAACTTTTCCTATATGTTAAGTGAATTCCATACTTTCTTTTTTTTTTAAAAAAAAAAAAAGTCTGTGGTGTCTAAGCCTATTAATAACCTGAAGTGAAGGGCTATAATGAATTTCACTTTTTACTTTTATAATTTTCCCCCCTCATTTAACTTTTTCTTTTTGAAATTGTGATTTGAATGAAACCTTACGGAGCAAATCAATTTTCTGTTTGTCTATTCCTACACATTCTTTAAATAGCATTAATAACAACTGCCAGAGTGTGACTGCACTTTTCTTATGCTTCCTGTGATTCTTGTGTTCATCAGTCCTCTCATCACACCCTTTCTGCTTTCTGAGCTCTATCCCGGGGTGGATGCTGCTCTTTGATTGTGTAGTGATTGTTCTGAGGTGCTATTATTGTTCACTTTATAGACTTGTTTTAAAGTGAAAGTTAAGCCACAGGGATGAGTTTTATTCTAGATTTGAAAGGCGAGAGTCATAATTTCAGGGTTTTACCAACTCTCTTATCAGAATTCTTTTATAACAGTTAAACACTTGTTCTCCCAGGATGATTGGTCTCTTTTCTCATGGCTTCCTGGCTGGCTGTGCTGTGTGGAATATTGTTGTGATATATGCTCTGACTGGAGATCAACTATCAAACTTCTCAAACCTTCTTCAACAGTATAAGACTTTAGCATATCCATTCCAGAGTCTTCTCTACTTACTTTTGGCTCTAAGTACAGTTTCAGCTTTTGACAGGTGAGATTCTGACTACTAATTCTTCTAATTTCTTTTCAGGAGGAAATGGTGAACTAACTAAATGTATCATTGACTCACTGTGATAGTTTCAAGATAAAATTATGGGATATTAATATTATTTTGATTTTTTGAAGTCTTCTGTTCTTTTTAGGGGTGGGAACAGATTGTTTTGAGTAAAATTTCTGTGGTATCAGGATCATTTTAAAAACTAGTAGTTTAAAGAGATGGGTAATAAAAGAAGGTAAAAGCTAATGAAACTTGCATATAACATTAGTTTCTGCAGTACTTCTGAACTTCAAAGGAATGCCTAAAAGAATTTTTTAGCTGAATGTTTCATATATAATTTGTGAATAAGATACTCTTTCATATATGTTAAGTATAAAGTGTGACAACTTTGAGTTTATATAGTAGCATTAAAGTAGGGAAAGAAACTGGAGTCAAAAAAGTTTATAATTAAACTATGACAGAGGGCTTTTGTGTTTTTTTAGGATTGACTTTGCCAAAACATCAGGAGCAATCCGAAGTTTTCTTGCCTTAGATCCAACAGCATTAGCATCTTTCTGTGAGTAATTAGTTTGAAAACACTTGAGTTACATTGAATTTTGAGCCAGGAAAAAGTCAATTTTCATTTAAAAAGATACTATTGCTATTTACAAACATTACTTATAGATGCTTGCAGAGCTTGCAATATTTTTAAAAAGTTGCCGACATAATATTGATAGGTTTTTAAAATACAGGCTGATTACTTCGTAAACGTTAAATATGTATTTAGCTTTAGAGGGGATTTTTTTGTTTGTTTTTTTTAAGCTTTTGCATTTTCTTCTTGACAGTAAAAAGGCTAATCTTTTAGCTTCCTGGTAATTTGGAAACGTTTGTTCTAAGTTATGAGAACATTAGTAAAACTAGTTTTAGACCTATTAGCAAGTAAATGTCTTGAGATCTATATCTTCTAGGTTCATGTCAGTTCTGATGACAAAATAGTGTTTTTAAAGGTCTTTTATCACTTGCGTTCTTGATAAATTATACTAGCAATCTATTGAAATCAGTTAAATGAATTTCTTTTATATATTAGTCAGTATGGTAGAAATTATGATTTTGGGGTTTTTTTTTTTAGAAATTATGTTTTGTCTTTAAATAACCTATTAAAAATAAATTAGGTTGTTAAAAATTCATTAGTAATTTCATTTGTCTTTTTTTCACAGTGTACTTTACTGCTCTTACACTGTCTCTGAGTCAGCAAATGACAAGTGACAGAATCCACCTTTACACGCCTTCTTCTGTCAATGGTAGCCTCTGGTAAGAATCCACAGTAGCAACAGTTGATGATAATAACAGCAAAGTTGGGAATAATAATACTGTACATAAGTTTCTAAGCTATTATATGTATAATCTATGTATCTTTCTATATATAGATTCCTAATCTATATATCTTTATGTTTTGATCTATATATAGCAATGTAAGGCCTTGTCCTATGGAAAGAAATACCTATCCTGGTAGTTAATGGACAACTTTATTTTTAATGACTTTTTTTCCTAGAAATCCGTTTTAGTTGTGTAAGTGGTGTTTTTAAATAGTCATCACAGGATGGACTGCAGGATCCCTGCACCCAACCCCTCATCAGAGAGCCTGCTAACCACTCTAATCAGGGACCCACAGTTGTGATGGAAATGGGTGGCTGGAATGACTAAGGAAACCAGTCTGTCCCGAAGAGCAGAATGGGGAGCTCTACCATCTGTAGATAGAGATCAACCAGGAAGGCTGATTCCAGTGCACAAGCTCAGTGAGGGGCTGTCTTTTGAGAGGGTGGGTAGGAGCATGGGATAAAGATAAAAAGAAAACAGACGACATTGACAAGTAGGGACATAGAAGGTCAAATGGAAACTTAGAGAACAGTGTTTTGGAAAGGCTACATTCATGTGCAGAGCAGATCTGTTTTAAGTTCAGTTAACCTTTGGATCCTTGTTTTCATGCTGTATGTCTAATTTTATAGGGAAAAATACTATATTTCATATTGTAGGTATTATTTCTGTAGAAAAAGACTGCTATTTGTTTTTAATGTTTGTTTATTTATTTGGATATTGTTGTTGTGTATCACTGAGTCAGAACTGGCTTAAAACTGACTCTCCTCCAGAGGTACGTGGTTCGAATTCACCAGATGCTCTGCTCGAGAAGGAGGGACAATCTACTCCTGTACCAGTCATATACAATTTGATGGTACACACACACAAAATAAAAAGAAATAAACAAACCAAAAACAAACACCTGACGCTTCTGTGGGTTTTCAGATATAAATCACAAAGAAGGAGATTGCCCATCTTTCTCCTGCAGAGCAGCTGGTGGATTCAAATTGAGTGCTTTTGAGTTGACAGTGCAACTTCTTACCACTTAGCATTTAGAGCTTTGTACATATATTTGGATACATTAAACAGAACAAAGACATTTCTAAAGAGTATTTCTATTTTCTTAGGGCAGCTGGAATTGAGGAACAGATTCTGCAGCCGTGGATTGTGGTGAATTTGGTGGTCGCCCTTCTGGTTGGATTATCTTGGCTTTTTTTATCTTATAGGCCAGGCGTGGATCTTAGTGAAGGTATGAAAAGAAAAGTAGCTTAGGATGATCATGAAATCATCTATAAGGATTTCACACAAAAAATTTTACAGATAAAATAATTATAGAAAGTAAAAACTGAAACAATGACAAGACAGACAGGAAGAACTGGAGTCTGGGAGTACCCAGCGAAGGGTCCTGTGGCTTTTGTGCCTATTTGGGGCTATTTTTAATTTTTAGGAAGTCTTTGTTCTTCCTTTGTCTCTTTATTATCAATATATCTTAATTTGAAGTAGATAATGTTTCACCTATGTAGCCTCCTTGTCAGACACATATTCAGTTGCATTATTCTTACCCTCTTTACCTACAAAAGTTCTGTACCTGTCAGAGTCTAATGAAGTGTTCAGTTATCCTACCCTTAGAAACTAAGGCACGCATGATTCAGAGCATGGTCTTTTCAATCACGTTCTTTTCTGCTGAGAGCTTGACAATAAGAATGATGGAAGAATAATTGATACCTTTGAACTGTGATATTGGAGAAGAGGACTGAATTTCCCATGAGAACAGTCTTGGAGTAGGTGCAGCTAAAATATTTCTTGGAGGCAAAGAGGGTGAAGCTTCATTTCTCATGACGTGAAATAAATCTCACATGCTTTGGACATACTGCTAGGAGAGGCTATTTCTTGGAAGGGATAACATACTTGGAAAGGTGGAGGGACAGCAAAGGAGAGCAAGACCCTCAACTGGGTGGATTGACACATTAAGTGTAGCAATGGCTTGAATGTGTCAGATTGTGAGGATGGCACACGGTAAGATAGGATTCAGATCTGTTGTTCATAGGGTTGCTATGAGTTCTACTCGACACAACAGCATCTAATAACCCTTACACACAAACCTGTCTTGGAAGAAGTGAAATCAGAGTGCTCCTTAGAAGCTGATGAAGTTTTGTCTTACATACTTAGGGCATATTGCTAAGAGAGGCTTTTCCTTGGAGCAGGACGTCATACTTGGAAAAGTGGAGAGATAGCTAAAGAGAGAAAGACCCTCAACCAGATGGATTGACACAGAGTCTCTAGCAATGGGCTCAAGTGTGTCAGAGGATGACACAAGATAGAACAGGGTTTAGATCTGTTATTCATAAAGTTGCTATGAGTCATACTTGATGGCACCAAACAACAGTAATCCTTAGGATGTCCAATATGAAGTAGAGTAAGTAACTAGAGGTTAATCTCTAGTCCCCGGCCTCTTTTCAGAACCTCTCTGAAAAATCATTTTAACAAGTGGCTGGCTAGCCCCTTAACATTACTTGTTAGTTTTTTATTTATGTAAGTTGTATTTCTGTGGCAGATATTCTACAGTACCACTCTTGTATCACTTTAATGGCTCCCATCTCTTGAACTTACCATGGGCTGCCAGGAAAATAAATAGGTCTGTCTTGCAGGCTAGGATTTTGAAGTTCTGTCTCAAATAATTTGGGCATGTGACCAGGAGAGACTGGTCCTAGAAGAAGGATATCTTGCTTGGACAGGTGGAGGGGCAGTGGAGGAGAGGAAGACCCCAAATGAGATGGACTGATACGATGACTGGGGTAATGATGGTTGGTGTGTCAGAATTAGTCAGACTGGCTCAGGAAAGGGAAGGGTTCAGAGCTGCTGTACACAGGGTCGCTATGGGTTGCAGGCGACTTGACAGCATATAACAGCAACAACAATAACATCTGGAATTTGGTTATTACCTTGTCCTTGATTTTTAAAACGTCTTTCACATCCTGTCTTAAAATGGAATCTTTTCCCAATATTTCCATTTTAAAAATACAAGACAGAGTATAATCGTCCTGTGTATTTTCATTCATAACTGTACTAATTTGCATTATCATTGTCATACTGACTCCCTGAATATCCTATTGATTTCTTCTTTTGATGGAATAGCACTTTTAAGATTTCCTGACATACCTGGTGTTGCTTCAAGTTCTTCCTCTACTTGTGTCTCATACATTGTTAGGATCACTGCTGAATTGAAACTTTTATCTGTGTGGAATTAATTTCATCTTCATCAATTAGATTCGCTAAGTGACTTAAATTTCCTGGCAAGATTTATTATGTTGCTACTCTATGTTTTCTTGTCAAGGATTCATGATACATTCAAAAGTTGGACATTTTAAAAAATACAATGTGTACGTTTGTCTTTAGATGATCTTTTTCAGTCAAGTTTCTAGAAGTGTGAAGAATTCTTAGCATCTGCCTTTCTATTATTATATATTATGTCTGTATTTGAAGATTTTTTTTTTATAACTCAGCTGTACCATTTTTTAAAGCACTGGAAAACAGTCATAATTATGATCTCTTTCTCTTTCCCCAGAGATGATGTTCTCCCATGATGTGGAAGAATATCCAGAGAAAGATAAAGGAACCAAAGCCTCATCCTAACACGTGTCACTCCGAGTAATGATGGCCCAGGATTGAAAATGTTTCCATTTTTTAAATGTATTTTTATAAGATTTGTCTATGTGTATTTGTAACTGATTTTTTCATTGTAATATTGAAAACATTTCCAAAGACTATATAAACTGTTAAAATTGATGCTAAAACATTAAATTCTATATTATCTTAATGACAAAGGAAATAATGACATAGAAACCATCAAGTGAAAGTATTTGTTTTATTCTTTCTAATTAGTTGCATTTAGTCTCTTAAAACCCTAGTTTTGGGGGGAAACTCATAATTTTAGTGTTGTAAATATGTATCAGGTTTTTAAGTGTAAATTTAGGGTAGGATTGGAAGAAAAAACCTTATTTATTTTTTGTCTTCTTAATAAATTGAAACATGAAATTTATCTCTTTTGGAAACAAGCTTAGTGGTTATGTATCATGTAATTCAGCTTGGAAGATGCTTGACTTCATGATTAATAAAAAGGTACATTTGTCTATATCTGAAAATTTTTATAATAAAAAAGATGTGTTTCTCTTTAAATCCTGCACCACTGGTTCCCATATTTGGCTGCACATCTGAATTATTTAGGGAGCCTTGTTTAAGGAAGGAGAAGCTGAGCTGCTCCCAGAGTGAGGGGGAATCAAGGAGAGGCATGGGCTCATGCTCCCAGAAGTTGTCTCTGCAGTTAACTTTGTTCTGCCTCTCTTCTGAGTGGTAAGGACATGGGTCACTCTACCTGTCCTCAGGTTCTGTGCCAGAAAGATCTTTGGCTTTCAAGGAAATCCAACTCTTGAGGTAAATTTTTGCACTGTACACGTTTTCTTCAGACTGGTATCCAGTGATACCTCAGCTTGTGTCTGTAAGTCCTTTCAGTTCAAGATAGTGATTTATAAGCTCATTATGGGAAAATCATTGGGCAAGTCTACTGCCAGGGACCTCGCCAAAATGCTGAAGAGCAATAATGTCGGTTTGAAGACTAAGTGCTCTTGATTGAGGCCATGGTCTTCTTATTCACCTGCTGTACATCCAAGAACTGAATAAGGATGGCAGAAGATTAAATGATGGCTTTGAGCTGTGGTGTTAACGAATAATATTGAATATTCCATGGACTGGCCAAAGAACAGTTATTTTTTGATATCATAGAAAAAGTGCAGCCAGAATGCTCCTTGGAAGCAAAGATGATGAAGCCTCATCCTTTCTACTTCAGACATGTAGCTAGGTGAAAGTATTCCTTGGAAAGGACATCATGCTTGAAATGATGGAGAGTCGAAGGAGAGGAAGACCCCCCTGCCCCAGTGAGATGGATTGACATGGTTCATGACTTCAGAAATGGGCTCTAGTGTGTCAGAGATGATAAGAATGGCATAGGATAGGGCCAAGTTCAGGTCAGCTATGCATAGAGTAGGTATGAGCTGTACTTGGCTCAACAGTACCTAATGCCAACAATAGAAAAAGGTGTCTCACTGGCTCTTGAGCACACCACTGAACTATTGGGCCTACCCTGATTAGCAAGCAATGTTTGGAGTTGAGGAACAGAAGAGACTGACTGACACACTGACAATATAGGTGGATGGCTTTGAAAATAGGTCTGGACTTGCTGTAAATACCCTAAGAGGCATGCCTCTTACTATCTGTGCAGCTGATCTTCTAGAAAGGGAATTCTGCAGTCACAGAATTGCCGATCCACTGAAGTCATCCTGCCAGTTCTAGCCTTTATTGTGATCGGCAGTGAGTCTTGTTAAGTACATCGAGTCATCCACAACTCATAACGACCCTATGTACGACAGCTCTGAATCCTGCTCTGTCCTCAGCTAACCTCACCATCTCCGACACACCTACCCCCATTACTCCAGCCACTAAGTCAATCCGTCTCATCGAGGGTCTTCCCCTCCTGTACTGTCCTTTCAAATCTTCTCAAGCATAGCGTCCGTCTCCAAGGACTGGTCCCTCCTTGTAGCATGCCCAAAGTATGTCAGACAGTGCTTCAGAATCCTTGCCTCCAAGGAGCCACCCACTTTGACCATCTCCAGGATGAACCTGTTTGTTCTAGCAATCCATAGTATATTCAGTACTCTTCTCCAGCACCACAGCTCAAAGGCATTAGTTCTCCTATATCATCCCTTTCGATAATGGAAGACAAGAATTTCATGAAACAACATGAACAAGAGCCTATGGTGATGAAAGAAGAAGTTCAGGCTGCTTTGAAGGAAATGGCAAAAAATAAGGCTCCAGGAATAGATGGTATACCAATTGACATATTTGAGTTAACAGATGCTGCCCTGGACGTGCTCACCAAGTTGTGCCAAGAAATCTGGAGAACAACCACTTGGCCAACTGACTGGAAGAGATCAATATTTGTTCCCATTCCAAAAAAAGGTGACCCAACTGAGTGTGGAAACTACAGAACAGTGTCATTGATTTCACATGCAAGCAAGATCTTACTGAAGATTATCCAAAAACGACTGGAACAGCACATCAACAGAGAACTGCCGGAAGTCCAGCCTGGGTTTAGAAGGGGTCGTGGTACTAGAGATATTGTAGCTGATGTTAGATGGATCTTGGCTGAAAGCAGGGAATACCAGAGGAATGTCTATCTGTGTTTCATTGACTATGCAAAGGCATTTAACTGTATAGATCATAACAAACTATGGCTGACTCTGAGAAGAAAGGGAATCCCAGAACATTTAATTGTGCTAATGCGAAACCTATACTTGGACCAAGAGGCAGTCGTCAGAACAGAGCAGGGTAACACTGCATGGTTCAAAATTGGGAAGGGCATGCGCCAGGGTTGCATCCTATCTCCATACCTTTTCAACCTATATGCAGAACAGATTATCCGGGAGGCTGGGCTCTATGAGGAGAAATGTGGGGTCAAGATTGGTGGAAGATTCATCAACAATCTGTGTTACGCAGATGACACAACCCTGCTTGCTGAAAATGAAGAGGACCTGAAGTGTCTGCTGCAGAGTGTCAAGGACTGCAGCCTACAATATGGATTGAGGCTCAATGTCAAGAAGACAAAGATTCTCACCACTGGACCAATTGGCAGCATCAGGATGGATGGTGAAGAGATTGAGACTGTACACAGCTTTAGTTTGCTTGGCTCCACAGTCAACAGTCTTGGCACCAGCAGCCAGGAAATTGAAAGGCGCATTGCCATGGGAAAGTGCTGTTAGGGACCTCTCCAAAGTACTGAAGAGCAATGGTGTCTCTCTGGAGACTAAGGTGCGTCTGATACAGGCCATGGTCTTCGCAATCACTTGTTATGCATCAGAGAGTTGGACAGTGACCAAGGAGGATAGAAGGCGAATTGATGCCTTTGAGCTGTGGTGCTGGAGAAGAATACCATGGACTGCTAGGAAAACAAACAGATTTGTCCTGGAAAGGGTTAAACCGGGTGGCTCCTTGGAGGCAAGGATTCTGAGGCTTCATCTAACATACTTTGGACATGTTGCAAGGAGGGACCAGTCCTTGGAGAAGGACATCATGCTTGGGAGGGTGGAGGGACAGCGCAGGAGAGGAAGGCCCTCTATGAGGTGGATTGATTCAGTGACTGGGATAATTGGGATGGGAGTGTCAGAGACAGTGCGATTGGCGCAGGGCAGAGTGGAGTTTAGAGCTGTTGTACATAGGGTCGCTATGAGTCGCAGGTGACTCGACGGCACATAGCAAAACAACAATAACATATCATCCCTAGTTACTGTCCAGCTTTTTGATGCTTAGCGTGTAATTTCAGAGACCATGGCCTGGATCAGGCAAACCATACTCTCCAAACTAACATTGTTGCTCTTCAGTACTCTGGAGAGGTCCCTGACAGCTGACTTCCAATGCAATTTGTCTCTTTATTCCCTGGCCGCTGGTGCCAAGAGTGTTGATTGTGGAGCCAAGTAAACTAACTGAAACTGTTAACAATCTGTGTCTTCACCGTCTATCATGATGTTGCCAATAGGCCCAGTGATGAGAATCTTTGTTTTCTTGATGTTTAGCTTCAATCCATATTGAGGCTGCAGTCCTTGACCTTCTGCAGCAAGTGCTTCAGGTCTTCTTCAACTGCAGTGTCATTTGCATAATACAGGTTGTTGATGAGTCTTATTCTAATCCTGATACCACATTCCTCCTTCTAGAGCCCAGCCTCCTGGATGATCTTTTCTGCATATAGACTGAAAAGATATGGAGATAGGACACATACCTGGCATAAACCATTCCCAATTTTAAACCATGCAGTACTTCCTTGCTCTGGTCTGATGACTGGTCCAAGTATAGGTTTCACATAAACGCAATCAAATGTTCTAGGAGTCCCATTCTCAGAGTTAGCCACAGTGTGTTGTGAACTACACAGTCAAACGTCATTGTCATATCCACAGAAGTTTAACACAACATTTAAAAAAAAAACCCTCATCTTCCTTTGATTCATCTATTATGGTATGTAGTATAAGCCATCTCCAGGGCAAACTCCTGCAATGATTTACTCTTTGGGTGTTCTTGTCCTTCTACTGTGAGGTTTACCATTATTACTATTATTATTTACTACTATAATACTTACCATAGTAATAATACTATTTATTAT